TGTCACTCACTGATCGTCTATTAAGTCGCCGTGCTTTAATTATAGAACCGTATCCAGAGGGAATTTCTATAGCTGCTATTAATTCTTCTAGTGTCCACTCTATGGGAACTTATCTAAATAGCCCCATACGAGTGATACTATATGAGGGGATGATTGCTTCATATTTAGAAATTTGGAGAGCTGGGTGATCGATAAAGTTGTTTGCATCTGCAGCTGATTTAAACTCCACGGATATTCTATTTCGTCCAACTTTTTTGACTCCATCATGGACTATATTTTTAATATTGTTATGATACAGAAAGTGACCGAATTTAATTGGTTTAAGAGTTACTCCAGACAGCTGATCATTTGAGATTTTACTTACGTGAACTAGAAAAGGAGCGGCATCATCTTGAGAGTACTTAACTTTTTTATTAATAAAATCAGGATGGGTATATGAGGATTGTATTGAAGGAAAATGTTGATTTGGATCAGTAATAACTAATTTTTTGTGGATGGACAGACTCGTTACTTACTTGGGCACGTTTACGGTTAATTAGTTCTACATTATCAATGTTAATGGGTAAGGAAAAGGAATCATTGCGAACCCTTCCGGGATCGGGAGGTTCGTCCTCCATTATATTACTACAACAAACAATTACATAAAAACGGCACAACTACAAACACTTACTAATTTACAGATATTAAAACCTCCACCAAGACAGAAAAATTTACTATAGTAAATCAACAACACTTAATAAAACAATAAATTTTAAGCAAAAAAGGCACGACAATTGTATCTCTCACTTCCTCCGAAACCGACCCATACCTTTATTGGGTGCGTTTGGCAGAAAAAAGCGCTAGCAAGCGCTTATAAGCGCTGAAATAGTTTTCGGCCAGGACACGATTGCTACTTCAGTAGCGCTGACACAATCCGCCATTTTGCTTATTTAATTTGTTTGTTTTGAAGTAGAGTTTATAAGTTATTGGGTGCGTTCGGCAGAAAAAAGCGCTAGCAAGCGCTTGTAAGCAAAATGGCGATCGTAATCGGTAAGCGCTGTCAAATCGTAAGTAGCTATTTTCCTCCAGGACACGATGTTAGTTTTAACCGGGGAATCTAACCTAATTTAAATATATGTTTGTAAAGTATGCATATTAAAAACTTACCAATCATGAGTTTTTAATAGCATGTATATGTTTATTCATGTCATTATATTACTTAAAACTAATATTGCACAAAACAACTTATAAACTCTACTTCAAAACAAACAAATTAAATAAGCAAAATGGCGGATTGTGTCAGCGCTACTGAAGTAGCAATCGTGTCCTGGCCGAAAACTATTTTAGCGCTTATAAGCGCTTGCTAGCGCTTTTTTCTGCCAAACGCACCCATTTTGTGCAATATTAGTTTTAAGTAATATAATGACATGAATAAACATATACATGTTATTAAAATACATGATTGGTAAGTTTTTAATATGAATACTTTACAAACATAATATATTTAAATTAGCTTAGGTTTCTCGGTTAAAACTAACATCGTGTCCTGGAGGAAAATAGCTACTTACGATTTGACAGCGCTTACCGCTTACGATCGCCATTTTGCTTACAAGCGCTTGCTAGCGCTTTTTTCTGCCAAACGCACCCATTGTTGGTTCGTCCAGTGTCTGTTTTGTTTGACAGATTATAGACCGTGCGTTGTTTATTGTTTGCGTCTGTGGTCAACGGTTGTGTTTCGTTCTGACGTTGACTTAGATGGTTGGCATTTGATTTGATCGTTAATTTTTGGTATTTTTCTATTTGTTTATTTTTGCATTCATTGTATTTCCCGAAACGTCGGGAATTAAAAATAAGTAAAAGTAGTGAAATAAACGCGATAAAATCCGTAAATTTAGTTTTATTCAATGTGTAGTGTTCGCGTAAATTTAAGAAATCATTAATACACTTAGTATTTTATTAGTTAATTGCGTAACCTTCTATTGCATAATGCACCGCGCATGGATCCTATATTTTATACAGGGCGCTTGTTTTAGGGCGTTATCGTAGTATTTATTATTAAAAACATATTATGTATAATTTAAATTATTAGTAATGCATTCCATAAAGTAATTTTTTAATTTTAATTTAATATTTTTTTGATTTATTTCTGATTTTACTGATACTGGTAGCTGGTTAATTAGGTTAGGAATCATATATTCTAAGGTACGTTTACCATATAAATTATTGTATTTAGGTAAGGCTAGTTTAGGTTTTCCTGAGTTGCGAGTTTTAGAGTATTCACATGTATGTGCAATTTTTAACTGTTCATGGAAAATTCTTCTATAAGAAGGGTAAACTTTACCTTTTCGTGAATAAGTATAATTTTGCAATGACTAAAAAGGTTGTGGTAATCTGATCCTTTATACTGGTTTTTAATACTATCAGGGGCTATAGTTTTTAAAATACTTAATTGTAGTAGATAAATACGTTCTAAATGTGATCTGTACGTTCTACCATAGCTAGACAAACCGTATGCTACTTTTGACTCTACCAGTGATTTATATATGTAGCTTTATAAGTATTTTATACGGAATTTTATATTTAATTATAAAAAATTTTGCAAGCATACCACGAAGTTTATCACATACATGCTCAATATGCTCTTTCCAATTAAGGCGACTATCTATCACGAGTCCTAAGTAGGTCTGTGATTCTACCAGGTCTATGGATTCGCATTTACATTTCGTTTAGACCTGTAATTGTAAGCTATTTTTTATAAAGTTCCGCTGACTTTCTTACAATGACAATCTATTTTATATTGAATAAAAAGTTTTTGCGTCTGTTTCTGTTTCAAAATCCGTGTTAATAAGTAATATAACAGATACGAAAGTTATTTTAAAATAGTCTTAATATAATTTTTCAGATTACAGTAATAATAAATGATTTAATAAATACGTATAAGAAATTTTTAATTAACTTAGAGAAAAAGACATTTGCAAAAATTGTAACTAACATGTGTTCTTATTATTAGTCTTATTATTAGGCATGTTCTTCGCCAAATAAAAAATAAAATAATAATTACGCACAAACTCATAGAATACTATATCGTGTATGTATTATTGTATTCAATGCACAAACTAAGGGGAATGGAATTGTATGGCAACCACATCCTACAGCACAAGATAATATTGATCGTCAAAGTATATACCTATATATACAACATGTAACATAATTAACGCACTTTGAGAAAGTAGTTTGTTCAGAATCGTTTACTGAATCGATTCCTATCATTTTAATATAGGTAATTTTTTATCCCAAAAATAATTAAAACCACGTAAATTACAGTCACACTAAATCTGTACAGTCAAAGCAAACTAAAATTGGCCGTAACTCAAGACAATAAGACTTTTAAGAGTGCAGTTTTATTTGTATTATTACTAATTCTGTCATTCAATAAAAATAAAGAAAAATGAACTTTATTTCAAGCACGTTAAAAGTATTTGCGTTCGTGGATTTGTACTGTTACCACAACATTCTTCCGGAATTTGTATAACTAATTTGATAAATAATCAGTGCATAAAAATGTTTAACTAAAAATTCAGTGTATGTATTATGATTATAACATAATATACTAATTGGGGTGTCTGAGGGTGTGCGTTAATTATGTTACATATTGTATACATATATAAATATCTGTACTAGGTAGTAGTACTTCTTATTTTCCTAGGAGTATGTCTGTGTAGAGTATAGGTTGTGAGGCGTTCCACCTTTATCCTCGTAGGTAACAACACACTTGCAGCCTTCTTAGTTTAAGTGGGCTGCTGGTATCCGTACACTGCAGCAACCATTTACCATCAGGGTTGACAAGAGATTGGTATTAACTATCAAAGTATTATTTAAGACTGGTAGCAAATACGCTATATATATTATATTTTAACACACTCAAATTTTTGGCTACCTTGGCACATACTTCTATTGAGCAGCAAAATAACTTTACAAATGATTTGGAATCAATTCCAAGTAATTTAAATTAGATAATAAGACAATAGAGGTAATCTCTAGCAAAGATAATTTAAATACCTTAGAATATAACTCACCAATACTTAACTGTGTAAATTCACATAATAGCAATAATAAAAACTGTATTAACCTGGTGCATCAAAATATACAAAGTATTTTAGACAAAGAAGTAGAAATTAAATACTATAATACATACATAATATGGTATTCTATGGTCAAGATATTCTTAGCAGCAGCATGGAGTCAGCAAGTTGGCGCGTCATGAGCAATTCGAACTCAATGGGTGCGTTCGGCAGAAAAAAGCGCTAGCAAGCGCTTGTAAGCAAAATGGCGATCGTAAGCGGTAAGCGCTGTCAAATCGTAAGTAGCTATTTTCCTCTAGGACACGAAGTCAGTTTTAACCGTGGAACCTAACCTAATTTAAATATATATTTGTAAAGTATTCATATTAAAAACTTACCAATCATGAATTTTTAATGACATCTATATGTCTATTCATGTCATTATATTACTTAAAACTAATATTGCACAAAAAAAACTTATAAAATTTACTTCAAAACAAACAATGAAATAAGCAAAATGGCGGATTGTGTCAGCGCTACTGAAGTAGCAATCGTGTCCTGGCCGAAAACTACTTCAGCGCTTGTAAGCGCTTGCTAGCGCTTTTTTCTGCCAAACGCACCCAATGCGAAAGATATCGTTTGAGCCACCTAATTCGGAATAAGTATTTCTCGGGCGAAGCAAACAAATTAAAAAAAAAAGAACATGAGCCGTGATTTTTCTAAATGATGTCGTTTTCCATCCTACACGCGGGCGAAGGCGCGAGCAGAAGTTAATTAAAAATATTTTTTAACCGTGAACTTTTTAGCATAGGGACGATAAATCAATTCGTTGACCAAATTAAACTGTGAATAATGTTCACATTATTAACGCTCTGATTACAATTACTAAATATGAAAAAATGTTACTTGTAGAAGTTGTAAAATCTTGTGTGAACAGTGTATTAAGTAGCATAAACGGTCATGAATATACAGGGTATAATTAACAGTTTCTTTTTACTCTTGCCAATTACTCTTGCAATAACTTCGGATTATGTTTTTGAGTTTGGTAAGTAAATGAAATGAAAATCAAGTATTTGCTTTACTTGCTAGAAATGTTAGTAATTAGATGCTATCGATATAAAATAGAACTATCAAAATGCAAATGAATGATGAAATAAAAGCATAAGTATTTAAAAATAAACAACAAAAAACAAACTTTTACCCAAATACTCAAAGATGCCGCTAAGTCACGTGCCGTGTCTATCATTAGTGATTGTGACACCACTAGATTTAACGACATCTTAAAATGCATGTTGTAAGTATATTACTGGTATAGTTATAATACGAATGGGTCGGCGTGACCGAGGAAGGACCACACTCTCACAGAATATCAGCGTAAATTAGCAGCTCAATGCTGATGTGTTTCGTATGGTGAGTCTAGAAAATCGGAGAAATCGGAGAACTTTTTACTGGAAACGGGACATTCCATCTTAGTTCTCACGGGTGACAACGCATCTGCATTGTTATTCGTAGTCTAATATACATTTAGATTTCTATGGGCTACAGCATCGATTTACTATCAGGTGGAATATGTGCTCGTTTGTCACCCTTAACCTATAAAAAAACTTTATTTACTGCATAAGCGCAACGTTTCATTTAAAATATCTATCACCTTTGCAATCTTTTCCCTATTTACTAACACTTGGCTTTTTTACGTATCAATGATATGGATGCAAATTACTCTGTCTATAAATGATCTTCGCGATACAGGCTTGCCTAGTGCGAAGAAAAGTAGTACAGTACTATATAGATAGAAGTAGTAGATAGAAGTAATAAGTAATATAGATAGAAGATAGATATACACATTTTATAGTGTATAATTGTATAGTAATTAAGTCATATTTATTTTTAAGGCGTCGATCAAGGCAACGTCATTTATAACAAAGATGGCACAATATTTTTTTTGAATCCAGTGACATCTGTTGAAATTCCAGTAAGTAATCACAGTAAATAAAATATTATATCAGTATAAGTTAATAATAAAGACTATATAGCTATTTTTTGTCATGCTCAGGAGTCAAGACTGTTGTTTAATTTCTTAACACACATGAATAAGATTTAGGTGTTTTTCTGTAATGGGGCATTTGCTCGCTATTAATATTTTTAACTTCCCGCTTTGAAATTTAATAATTTTCAAAAGTGTGAAGTTATAGCTTTCGGTTCGATTTTGAGAATGCGAGTTTTCATCGGATCTCCACGTTTTAGGTCCTAGGAAGCCGTTCCCACTTCTTCTGTCTGGGCTAATCTTCGGTGTGGTCGAACCGATTGTGACAAAACTATCCACTATGTCTGTCTGGGCTAATCTTCGGTGTGGTCGAACCGATTGTGACAAAACTATCCACTTCTTCTGTCTGGGCTAATCTTCGGTGTGGTCGAACTGATTGTGATAAAACTATCCACTATGTCTGTCTGGGCTAATCTTCGGTATGGTCGAACCGATTGTGACAAAACTATCCACTATGTCTGTCTGGGCTAATCTTCGGTGTGGTCGAACCGATTGTGACAAAACTATCCACTATGTCTGTCTGGGCTAATCTTCGGTGTGGTCGAACCGATTGTGATAAAACTATCCAATATGTCTGTCTGGGCTAATCTTCGGTGTGGTCGAACCGATTGTAATAAAACTATCCACTATGTCTGTCTGGGCTAATCTTCGGTGTGGTCGAACCGATTGTGACAAAACTATCCACTATGTCTGTCTGGGCTAATCTTCGGTGTGGTCGAACCGATTGTGACAAAACTATCCACTATGTCTGTCTGGGCTAATCTTCGGTATGGTCGAACCGATTGTGACAAAACTATCCACTATGTCTGTCTGGGCTAATCTTCGGTGTGGTCGAACCGATTGTGACAAAACTATCCACTATGTCTGTCTGGGCTAATCTTCGGTGTGGTCGAACCGATTGTGATAAAACTATCCAATATGTCTGTCTGGGCTAATTTTCGGTGTAGTCGAACCGATTGTAATAAAACTATCCACTATGTCTGTCTGGGCTAATCTTCGGTGTGGTCGAACCGATTGTAATAAAACTATCCACTATGTCTGTCTGGGCTAATCTTCGGTGTGGTCGAACCGATTGTGACAAAACTATCCACTATGTCTGTCTGGGCTAATCTTCGGTGTAGTCGAACCGATTGTGACAAAACTATCCACTATGTCTGTCTGGGCTAATCTTCGGTATGGTCGAACCGATTGTGACAAAACTATCCACTATGTCTGTCTGGGCTAATCTTCGGTATGGTCGAACCGATTGTGACAAAACTATCCACTATGTCGGTCTGGGCTAATCTTCGGTGTGGTCGAACCGATTGTGACAAAACTATCCACTATGTCTGTCTGGGCTAATCTTCGGTGTAGTCGAACCGATTGTGACAAAACTATCCACTATGTCTGTCTGGGCTAATCTTCGGTATGGTCGAACCGATTGTGACAAAACTATCCACTATGTCTGTCTGGGCTAATCTTCGGTATGGTCGAACCGATTGTGACAAAACTATCCACTATGTCTGTCTGGGCTAATCTTCGGTGTGGTCGAACCGATTGTGACAAAACTATCCACTATGTCTGTCTGGGCTAATCTTCGGTGTGGTCGAACCGATTGTGATAAAACTATCCAATATGTCTGTCTGAGCTAATTTTCGGTGTAGTCGAACCGATTGTGATAAAACTATCCACTATGTCTGTCTGGGTTAATCTTCGGTGTGGTCGAACCGATTGTACTATGTGTGTCTGGGCTAATCTTAGGTGTGTTCGAACCAATTGCGATAAAACTATCCACTATATCTGTCTGGGCTAATCTTCGGTGTGGTCGACCCGGTTGTGATAAAACTATCCAATATGTCTGTCTGGGCTAATCTTCGGTGTGGTCGAACCGATTGTAATAAAACTATCCACTATGTCTGTCTGGGGTAATCTTCGGTGTGGTCGAACCGATTGTACTATGTGTGTCTGGGCTAATCTTAGGTGTATTCGAACCAATTTCGATAAAACTATCCACTATATCAGTCTGGGCTAATCTTCGGTGTGGTCGAACCGATTGTGATAAAACTATCCACTACGTGTGTCTGGGCTAATCTTCGGTGTGGTCGAACCGATTGTAATAAAACTATCTACTATGTCTGTCTGGGCTAATCTTCAGTGTGATCAAACCGATTATGATAAAACCTTACGAACCGGTAGAGAGCAATATCAGGAGGGATCTAAACTATCTTTATTTTATCCCAAAAACTTTGAATTTAAAAAAAAATTGAAAAAATTTATAAAATAAATGGTTTGATGATTATTTCACAAACTATAAAACATACAGAAAAAGTTGGGAAGACAGGCAGACTGACCGACAAAAATTCTAAAAATGTTTATTTACGTCATTTTTGGGTTGGTATGCTATTAAGCATACAAATAAACTTCTGAGCTTAATAGAAACCAGTCATTTCAATATTAATGACAGACTTCAATTTTATTTATATGTATATGCCTATTAAATGACATAGTATACAGGATTAAATTATGTAGTCTCTGCACAGGGATAACGACACGGTGGTCCATGCTGCAAAGAAGAAAGCCGATCTGCTAGGTTCTTTCTTTGCGTCCAACTCTCGATGACGGGGGAACATACCGCCGACCATCCCGCGGTGTGAGCGCTCCATGCAGGATGTGCTGTTGCGCACACAGCACTCCTCTCCCTGGACGTCAAAAAGTTGAGTAGGCCTGATGGAGTCCCACCTTTCCCACAACTACAGGCCTATCGCTATCATCTCCTTGTACTCGAAAATAATGGAGACAATTATAAACGGCCAGCTCATAAGGTACCTTGAGGAGTACCAGGTGATTAGTGACCGTCAGTACGTTTTCCGTTAGGGTGGCTCAGCTGGTGATCTTCTGGGTTATACCTAATTCATAGATGGGCGGAGGCATAGAGTCCAAGGTAGAGATATTGGCCGTTAGTTTGGACACAGCGAAGGCCTTCGATCGGGTTTGGCACAAAGCGCTTCTTTCGAAGCTTCCTTCCTTTGGACTTCCTGGGAAATTGTGCAATTGGACGAGCAATTTTCTTGCAGATCGGAGCATCTAGGTCATAGTAGATGATGCATATTATGATAACAAGCCTATTAACACTGGTGTTCCACAAGGCTGCGTGCTATCACCAACGCTGTTTCTTCTGTATGCCAATGATAGATTACAAACCGGTAATGTTCACTGCTATGTGAACGGCAGCATTAGTGATGCTTTATACACCAGCCGTGCCAATATTTCTCGGAAAACGTCACCGAGTATCAGAACAAATTTGTGTCTGAAGTCGAGACTTTGTTGAACAATCTCGGACTGGAGCGACTTAATCTAGTCCGATTCAATCCCCAAAAGATACTAGCTTGCGCGTTTACCGCTAAAAAGTCCTTTTTCGTATCTTATCAGCTTCTAGAAACTCCCCCTGTTGTTGAATCAGTCAGTATAGGAATCCTCAGCGACGGCATATCGAATGACGTGCAGTGTCGTGACAAATTCACAGCTTGGAAGAGAAGGCTAAATATTATGCCTCTAAAAAGCTTGACGTGCTAAGCAGGGCGGGACAGTATTTTATGCCGGCATACCGCTTGCTAGGCGCAGACTCGGCCTCACATGGAATACTGTTCCCATCTCTGGGCGGAGGCTCTCCAGTGCCAGCTCCTTACATATGATTGCATCGAGCACAGAGCGGTTCGAATTGTCGACGACCGCGCTCTTTCTGATCTGATGTAGCTCTACAGTGGGCTTGTAGTGGCTGTAATGATAATTACAATGATGTGGTTGCATGTCAACATTTCATATGGGTATTAACCATCTGATTGCGGCCATTGGTTAATTACTACCTGCCTACCCTACTTCATTAAATTTTTATTTTTTATTAACCTTAGTTTCTATTTACATAAAAGATATAAGTAACTTCGTATTTAAAAATAAACACTTCTTCACCCAGATAAAAGAAACACACAATGTAAATACAAGGCATAAAGATAGGTTATATTTCCCCATCTAGAACCAAAATGCTCAATTGTAGCCCATATTACATGGCAATTAAAATATTCAATAAACTAACCATAAATATAAAATCTGAAGTTAAATTAAGTTCATTCAATAAAAAACTTCATGATTATCTTATTTCTAAATGCTTTTGCACGCTCAAGCTGCAAATTACTAAATATTAAATAAAATTTTATTTTCAAAATAGCCAAATACATGTTACTTTACATGAGCCAACTTGCATAAATTTTATGTTGCGAAGATTATAATGATGTTACATAGTTATAGGTCCATTTGATTATTTTATTGTATATTTCTTGTATATTGCATCGCCCGACAGGGTCTATAATGGTCACTGTAACTGCTAATCTACTGTATATTATAGATGCAATAAACGATTTGAATTTGATTATTTTTAAGTGACCACATTTTTTTTACAGGTACCCGAAGGCGTTTCCGTTACGTACGTTAAAGTTACTGTTAACGCCCTATCGCCTCCTAAAGTGGACTATGATAATTTATACCACAAAGTAAGCATTAAATATAGTTGGACACAAATCTCTCAATCCACCTATAATATTATAGTAAAAGGAATGACGAAGGTACACAATTAAAAACTGTTTATGTAGAACCTGGAAAAATGAGAAACCACCTGTTTTTTTTGTGTTCACACCTCAAAATCAGTGATTTTTTTATCTTTGTTGGCTAGCACCGATATCTCGAATCAATGCTAATTTTTTACAAAACATATTCTCATAAATAATATGGATATTTTACAACTGAAATAAATTTTGTTCCAACTGAGGTTCCACTCAACCAGGTTGCCCTGTATACTGTTTGAAAAATCAAATAAATGATTACCTACCATGTGTTTATTGTTGTGTATACTCGTATGTATTATATACATTAAAAGTTTTATTTTTTACGAAAGATACGGGGCTTCGCACGGGTGATTTCTGGATCTGGACAACAGCGCCACCTACCGGGTCTTATTGTGATTCTAAACCATTCTCGAATCAAGTTAATCACACACAAGATTCCGACACAGTCGGTCCAGCCATTTAGGTGGACTCCAGTCACATACACACGGACCAAAGAATATAATATGCATGTATTATTACATATATAAACCTTCCTCTTGAATCATTCTATTGATGAAAACCACATCAAAATCCATTGGGTAGTTTAAAAGATGTAAGCGTACAGACGGCGGGAAGCGACTTTGTTGTATACCATGTAGAGATTTTAAGTTATTACAAGTCTCTTCGGTTATAACTATTTAAAATCCACTGCTGAACATATCACATAGGAGGGATATTTGCCATAGTTGCCACGTTTGGCAAGCGTGTTGGCGACGGCAATGTTTTTTGTTTTTAGTCGTAATTAGAAAGAAGCTATTACCCATTCTCTAATTAGTTTCCCCCTGTCACCTCTTACGACACCCACGGGACGATATGGGGTGGTGGATATTCTTACACGGTGTGGCCGCGAAAGGAAAAGGGGAGATCTCCCGCCGGGCAAGGTGTTCTGCCCGGGGAGCGGCCAACGCTCCTTGTGATAGTTCGAAGATGTTCTATATATGCTGTTTATGATTCGGAATGTTGATAGCGTGATTTAGGCTTCGGTGTGTTTCGCTTGCGGCGCGATGACAGCGCCGCCACAACGGTCTTTTACAAGGTCGGTTACATGTCTCTTCAATATCTTGAAATTTGGTATAATATACTCGTATAATATGGCCAATATACCATGTGGTAAATAAATTCTAACAATGGACTAAAATAAATTAATAAATAATCCTTTGCGGCGCAAATGTACACACGCACAACCATCATGGGTCGGCTCGACCGGGGAAGGACCATCTCACAGAATACCGGCGTGAAATAGTAGCTTAATGCTGCTGTATTTCGTATGGTGAGTGTAGAGAACCGGAGACCCTTTTTACTGGAAATGAGGCATTCCATCTCGGTCCTCACGGGTGACAACGCATCTGCATTTTGATTTATAACGGAGGATAGATGTAGATGTCTATGGGCCACAGTAACAACTTACCATCAGGTGGACAAACATAACACTTTTTACTCAGGTCAACGTGGGTATAAGATCCAAGAAGGGCAGTGAAATTGAAACCGTAGGTATATTTCTGTATGATGTTGGCGGCGAAATAGACATCATGATAGACAAATACATCCTGTATTGCTTGGGAACGGAAACCTTCAATTAAAGAGCTTACTCCTTTTTAAAAGGCCGGCAATGCACCTGCAATCCCCCTGATGGTTGCAGTTGTTCATGGGCACTTACCATCAGGTGAGCCGCATGCTCGTTTGCCCCCCGAAAATTGCTCTATTTCATCATGTGGGCGTCATAAGAAAAGTATAGGAAATGCGAGAAAAATCGTATGTGTTCCGATAGATGATGATATCTTGCTTAGGCATGGCGTAAAATAGATACTAAAACTGACAGTATGCAGCAGTGTAAAAGGCACTAGACGTCGTATATTTCGTATTTTAATTTGTAAAATATGGAAAAGTCTTGCTAGGGCCGAAGAAATCCGTGTTCAGCAAAGGTCGTTGATATATAACTAACTGTCCCCGACATGCGTGCGATGCTTTTTGGTGAGCGCGTGCACGTCAACTCACCAAAGTTTCATTATCATCGGCTCAATGGTATAGGATCGTCTACAGGCATCGGCGTAGCTAGGGATTTTAACTACTGGGGTGAGGGGAGGGGTAAGATCATAATAACTTCAAGTAATAAATAATAATGCAGTTCATTAATCTCCTTTTTTTGAAATTCTAATAAGTATGTCTTTTTTTCGTTCGGATTAATCCCAGCCGCCAAATTTCATGAACGCACTACGCGGCAAACCTCCAGATACCATCCACACCATCTGGATGTTTGGCGGTCCACCACTGTACGTTTCACTAGGAGTTTTCTTCCGCGTACGACCTCTCTGTGGAATAATTTATTACCGGCGATTTTTCCGGACCGATACGACCTGGATACCTTCAAGAAAAGAGCTTACTCATTTCTAAAGGGCCGGTAACGCACCTGCAATTCCCCTGGTGTTGCGGTTGTTCATGGGCTACGGTAGTCACTTAACATCAGGTGAACCATATGCACGTTTGCCCCCTCTTGTATAAAAAAAATAAAAATGCAGTTCATTAATCTCCTTTTTTTTGAAATTCTAATAAGCATGCCTATCTGTTACCTTTTCACGCTAAAAATGGAATTATATAAAGTTTGGCAAGAAGTTGTAACATTATCCTGGGAAAGGCACTTTTCGAATCTAATATTTTGTGCATTCGGCTCCTTTCGTATAGCCGCACTTTTCTCGCGTGGTGGTAAGTCTGGCCTACGTACTTGCAAACTGTCACAGAGCTAGAAACGAGAGACGAGTTTGTTATTATAAATTTTGGATAAATTAAATATACGAGATTTGGTAATCTTAAATTAAAGAGCGATTTAACATTAAGAAATATTCTTCAATACTCACGAGGGTGGGCAAGGAAGTTTCTAGGGTAGTGTACCTACACGACAAACAAAGAAACGTGTTTCATTCCTATGTATAGATTTTTAAATTGATGTCTAGATAAATAGACATTATTTTATTATTTGTTTTTAACTGAACTAAGATTCCTCAAGAAAATGAGCTTTACCTTTATTGATATTTGACATCATTCTCGTATTTCTCTTATCTTGATTCATTAAAATTAACTCTTATGACTTTTCAGCGGTAGGTATTTACGATTTATTATTATTGAGAATCAATTATTTACGTTTAATCAAACTCTTGTTTCGTTCGGATACAACACGATGTGGCTGGCTGTTTTTGTAGTTATTCTTACCGTTTCCAATTTGATTTGTCCATACAATCCCTTCACAGGGTATTCATACCGCCAATATGGTATGTTTGATTTAAATTTATTTGCTAATAGAATGTTCTCGCCGCGCTTCGCCATTCCATAAATCTTGAACCTTTTATACTGTCTTCCGCCATTACTATTCTCAGCATTTTAGTTCTGGTGATGGTGACGTAAGAGAACCCATCGTTGCATTTTATCCCATAGGTTAAGTCTATGTTATGTCTGTGGTAAGTGTCAGAAATATGTTGAAATAGGCTTTCAACAATAGGCGGTAAAATTATCCTGTTAAATGACAGTCGCAAATACTTAGATCAGTGTTGGGGAGCAACGTCAAAGTCGGGAGATATCTTATACATACTTCGATCACAAACCTGCCTGCCAAGCTTAGCGATTATGGCAAATCCTATTCCGGGAGCAGCCCACGTGCAGCCGAAGTTTTTTTACACACTGATGAAAACGCGAAATCTTCGGCATTTCAGGTATGATACAAAATACATCAATTCTTTATTGACGAATTGTGTTTAGATTTTCAATAAGCCACAATAGGTGTGAGACAATTTAGCCTTTACACTTAAGTGTGATTCTCACCTGCATGCGGTGTATCCTGTTATGTAAGCACCAGTCGGCCGCTGGAAATTCCAACGATATTACATATATGACTAAGCCGATTCCACAGATCGGTTATGAGGAGCATCAACACCAATGCGTAAGTATGGAAAAAGTGCTCACCAATCCGGCCAGAATATTAAGTATCGTGAACATCTTTCAAAGAGTTCGTCATTTAGTATACTCGTATTATTCTTGGCCTTTATACCTATTATATGAGTAGCCAATTTAAGCATTTATTAAGATAGATTGGATAAGATAGATAGATATATAGAACATAGGTCGTTAGGTACATGTAGTAAATGTTAAGTGGAATGTGTTCTGTAATCGTCCTTACTGCTTATATAGTATACTAGCTTTTTACCCGTTTCGCTCGCGGTGGCTTTAATTTAATAACAATAATAAATTTTGTTTCGTTCTAAGTTTGGCAAAATTCTATCACTAAAACAGTCATCTCGGTGTCTGTTTCTTTCTTTATGTGTGTTTGTTAAAGATCTTTTTTAAATTCGAAAAGACGTAGAACGATGATTGATATTTGGCAAATATATAATATATTCTAGGAACACGTGAATAAATAAGTTTTTCATAATTGCAATATTATCTTATGTCTATAATCACCTGCTATTTTTATATCAGGCGTTTCTTCTGATTTATCCATATGAAAGGTAATTATCAATTACCTTTCTCTTCTTAGAATCAATTTTTTTGTTTATATTTTTACATTTGGAAAAATTGCGTTATTTACATTTTACACTTTTCACTTTCATCATTAAAGTTAGTTTGATTTTAACTAAACAAATATAAATTTTATTGCCGTGTTTAATTTACGGTATGAAGTTTATTTGTGATATTTGATTCATAATATTATTGGTCCCATATAATTTTTTTCATTGATTGGCACCATAAAATAAATGATAATATTATTTTTACGTTCGAGTAGAATGCAAAATTTCATAAATGAAGTTCTATACTCAATGATTTCTTATGTATACGCGAATACTGCTCATGGAATAAAATTAAATTTATGAATTTTATCCCATTTAATTTTAACTTTTTATGTGGGTTTTTATACGCATCTTTGGATGAAAATCCATAAAAACCAGCGTAAAAGAACATATAGCTGATGTGAAGCACCAACGCTCCAGGAAGTCTGAATTATGTCAACATGTTCAGTATCGTCCCGACCATTATATCAAATCTGATAGACCATAAATCTTCGCAAAAGAACCGCGATTTTAGAGGCTATTGAAATTTAAAAAAAAACATCCTAATTTCAATAGAGAACATGTCTGGGTGCTACCATCTGCTTGAGATCCCATAATTACTAAAATTAAATTTAAACCCGGGCATACTACTGCAAGACTATTTGCAAGAGTATAGCCTTCGTTAACTATTACATCAGGACATGAAAACACTCCGGTCTCCTCCCTGACTATGGATGCTGTCAGTTCCACCATCTGGCACTGCGACAGAAGTTAAAATTCCATTTCCATTATTCGATGGTTGGCGGTCGACTACTGTACAATTTATGCGGAATTTTCTGCGTCGTACGACCAAGCTGTGAAATTTACTATCGGCTGCAATCAGCGGCAATAATACCCCTGGTGTTGCAGATGATCGTGCGTGAAGGTGATCACTTGTCCTCGTGGTTCGTTTACCTTCTCTTCTATAAAAAAAAAACTATTTAAATGTAATCGCATTTTACAGCCAGCTGACGATTAAGCAGTTAATATTTTAAAATTTCATATACATTTATTATCATACAAATTTTTTTTCTTATAGGTGCTCGTGTAGAAGGAGACGTCTTATCCTATCATTTTAAATCGTACATTCCCGTTTTCCGTAAAATTCAATATGTGATTGTAAAAGTAAGTGCAGTTATATAAGTGAAAGTAAATATAGTAATATTTAGTTTGGTTAAGTTTTTTTTTATCATAATAGTATTTCTATAAATACTTTAAATGCTCACAATATTTTGTTTCTATCCCTACCGCTACGTTTATAACGTTCGCCCTCACTATCCCTACTCTCTGACGTGTGTGAGGGATAGTTCAGGCGAAAGCTACGACAAAACCCACTAATAAGTTTGCCGCAAGGAATATACGACTATTAACCTGTGACCGTAGCTATAATGCGTTCGTCGTAGTGTCACTGATTGAAACGCAAGTATGGACTACAACGCGTTCCATTGTAGTCTACATATAAAAAAACGTTATGCTGATACGCTAACGTAATACGATACGGTTTTATGTAAATGCGTTTTTAACACGATACTGTTACTGTGATACAATATGGTCGAAATTAGCTTTCATATATATTACGCGATTTATATTAAGAATAACTGAAGATGGTAAAATATATTCCTAATATTCATGCAAGCGCTTTGGTAACAGCAGTTTTATTTATTTTTAGTCGTCATTAAGAAGACGCTGCTGCTCATCTCCTAATTTATTTCCAGGGTGTCACCTCTTACGACACTCATGGGATGATATGGGGTAGTGGATATTTTTACACCGTCATTACATGGTGAAGCACTAAGGTATTACAAAACTCTTAAAAGTTTACTTATCTGGCTTTTTATGACTTCTTCATCAACAGCACAATATACAAAATACTCTTGTATTAACAGCCTCTTTAAATGTTCTGCTTCCGCAAATAAAGGCATACAACCAATCCCCCTAGGTTACTGGAAGCTTAAACCCGCTAAACTCACGCTAGACTGTAATGTATGTCTAACGAATTTTCAAACATTATACCGTCATTTGTTGTTCGTTTCATTCGCTAAATATCAGGGTATACCGTGTACAGGTTAGGTTGGCATTTGCTGAAATAGTCGCTTACATTCCCTAACGTGTCTTCGATGTCGCTAAAAGGTCAACTTTTTTATAAATGAGAAAATATTTGACACTAACTAAAAAAATTTACGTCGTAGAACCATGTTGTAGTGGGTTATTCGGGTTTATCCAACCTAAAAAATCCACTCTGAGATGTGTACTACCCTATTGCACTAATAATAAATAAGTACCCGGTTGACCGAGCTTTGCTCGGTATTTTTCGCTCGGTTTTTTTTTAATTCGTGTGTTTTGGAAATTATATTTAAATACAAATTACATACTGATGAAATACGAATAATATTTTTAGATCTTAGCAACATTATAGAAAAAACTGAACTGGTTATTCGAATAAAAAATCATGAGTGCAATTAGTTTAATTTAAATTTTTTGATTTTCTCAAAAAAGAAAGGAACTTGAAAAAAATTAAAAAAGTCGGCCTGTCGGTCTAGGCTCGAACCATGGTATTGCGATTTTGTGACCGCCCAATATACCAATTAAGCTATTTTGTAATCATTAACAAACTGTCAAAATGTACCTTCTTATTCTAACGATATTGTAGCAGTGTTTCATTGCCTAAAAACACGGACAAAAAGACATTTTCTAAAAATAAATCCTAGCTAGATCGATTTATTGCCCCCGAAACTCACTGCACACAAAATTTTATGAAAATGGTCGGAGCCGTTTCCGAGATTCCGATTATATATATATACAAGAATTGCTCGTTTAAAGGTATAGAATATATTTGGATGCTGCAAAGTACATGAAACGTCGGAAATTAAAAGAAATTAAAATTAAACGCGGTAAAATCCGTAAAAGTAGTTTTATTCAATGTGTAGTGTTCGTGTAAAATATGTAAAAAGAAATCGTTAAGAATATATTTAAATTATTTTACTTTGGAGTGGCTGGCTTATAATATCGCACTGGAGCTATATTATGGTTGTAGCACGAATGGGTCTGCTGACCGGGGATAGGACCACACTCTCACAAAATACCACCGTGAAATAATAGCCTAATGCTACTGAATTTCGTCTAGTAAGCGTAAAGAACCGGACCCGTTTTACTGATAATAGGCATTCCATCTTAGTCGTCGGGGGTGACAACGCATCTGCATTTGGATTATAAATCGCCGATAGATGTAGATGTTTATGGGCCACTAGCCTTGCCATCAGGTGGACTGAGTGCTCGTTTGCCATTCTTATTCTATAAGTAAACAAAGAAAGGGAACTTAGGACAGCAAGGTGCTCTTGAAAATAAATAGAAGCTCTAAGACCAAAGCCAAAACTTAGTTCGTACAAGTTATTGCCTATAAATGTATTGCTATATATATTTGAGGGATTAAGACTCTAGGTCTATATTTTATGTGACTTTTATATTTTGCAGCCTCAAAGAAAGGACGTTGAAAATAACTTTACGTACTTAAAAGTTGAATACGTAAATAAGATTACAGCTATAGTTGTTTTATACAATGCCACTAAGCAAATTGTACTGTTCGGATTGAGATATCCATTTATCCGAACCCCGTATGAAATAACCGGATACTCCAGACTTCTAAATTCTACTTCTAAACCTCTTAATGAGACTAGTCTTCTAAATTCTACTTCTAAACCTGATGATGAGACTAGTCTTCTAAATTCTACTTCTAAACCTCTTAATCAGACTATACGTAGTTTCAAGTGGGATCTACCAAATCTGTATGATCTAATAAAAGATTTAATATATTGACTCGTTTTTCATTTCACCTAAATGTTTTTTTAAAAGATATTAGTATGCAAATAAAACAAACTCTGTTATATAAAAATATTTCACTATTGACGGCTAACAATAGTTATATCGTCAATTGTAAAAAAAAAAATAAAAAAAAAGTGAATTTTCAATTTACGTTGGTCCAAATATCTATGGTTGTCACTGAGTTATATTGAAAGGGTAAAGGTTTAGGTTAATCACGGGAACGCATGTTAATGTCATCGTGTCGCTCTCGATCTGTATCACGATGATCTCCAGACACTCTTACACCTGCAGACGGACCTGCTTCATCGTGCTCACGCTTACCTCCAGGATACGGGGCTGACGGTGCGGACTGTACTAACCGACCCATTAGACTTGCGCTTTTATCCTTTCTCGGTCTTGTCCATTCATGTGCTAGCACACGATCCAAAGTCAGTCGTAAAGTAATGTCGGGCTCTAAAATATGACGTACAATTGATTTTGCCGCAGCGGATATGGTGTCTCGAATTCTCAAACGGAACACCCAATTACGTGACATCTGGTCTTTTAGCAGTTTACGTAAATTCGAATCATCAAACGGCATTGAAGCATTTAACATAATAAAGAGAATGATGCCAAGAGACCATACATCTGCTAGTTTAGGGTTGTACGGTGTACCGCTAACTACTTCTGGGGCCGCGTACGCTGCTGATCCACAATACGTTTGACTAAGAACACGCCTGTTATCTCCGTCGGTACAGAAACGAGCAAAACCAAAATCTGCCAATTTCACATTAAATCGCCTGGAAAGCAATATGTTTTCACATTTAAGATCACGATGGGCAATATTTTTACTGTGTAAATAGTGCAGTCCGCTAGCCATCTGCCTAAACCAAAGCTTTGCTTGATTCTCTGGTACTACGCCATTGCGTTTTATAAAATCTAATAGATCACCGTTATCGGCATATCTCATGAATATGAATACCCTCGGGCCTCTCTGTAGGATGCTGTGCACTTGAATTATGTGTGGATTCTCAATCTTAGTAAGTATGTCAAGTTCTCGAGGGAAAAACTTTTCTAAAAAATCACGCGGCGCTTTCTCTTTGTCAAATATTTTGCACGCGAGGTGCATCCGCTTAGGGCTGGATGCATCACAATACTCAGCCAGGTGCACAGTGGCGTAAGATCCTTGTCCGACTTTCTTGCCAATGAGATATCCTCGTTGTTCCAAGGCATTGACCTCGGAGCTTCGAGGACTGAGGCGCTCAGCCATTGAGCACTATCCACTTTATCCTAACCCGGTTAGGATACATTGGACATTTCACTGTTCACAATATAACCAAGTTTCAGTGATCCTTCTGTCAAATTGTTCTTGTTTACGTTGGCTTTAAATTGGCACTCACCTCTCATGAAAGAGAGTAAATAAATAAAATAAAACGTTAATGGCACGCACAAGATTTTGTTAAAAATATTACATCACAAAGAATTTGGATATAAAAAACGCTCTCACTAGTAAAAAACCTTCCAAAAAGACGTATTTGTTACATTTATGATTTTTTGTTTTGTTTCTAAAATCAAAACTGTTAAATTTCAAACTTGCCTGTTTTAAAACGTTGTTTAAGTAGGTTGAATTTTAGTTATGTCATTTAACAGATGTAATAAAATAACAATTTATTTAAATTATTTTTCTTTAAGTATTTGAAACAGAATACTTTACCTACATAAAACTGAATAGCATTATTTATCCTTACTAGGTTTATCAAGGGAGAAGGATCATGCATTTACTAAGGTACGTGGGGGTAATATGGTATTTCACTTTATACAAAGGTACTCTGTGATATGATCACCTTAAGGTTTGCTGCTCTATAAAACCAAAACAAAGAGGAGGACAGAGACAAAAAGCAAAACCATATTCTATAAATAACAAATTAAGGAAGAAAGCAAGTGCTCCTAATTATTGCCAAAGCTTGTTTGCAATAATTACAAACAAGCTTTGGTAATAATTAGAAACACTTCGAAAAATCAACTAAAAGAAAAACTAACTACATTACACTATACTAATATCGACTAAAATAATTACTATAATTTTAACTGCCAAAATAGCGTCGATTAAGCAGCGCCCTTTTGACTCCTTGTTATTTGATTGACTGATGAATAGCTATCTTATCACAGAACCATCTATGCAAACAAGGCCATAGGTTTTGAATTATAAGAAAGTGACCATATTAGCCGAATGACCATATTACCCTTTCGTACTATAATTATATTATAAAATGATACAGGCTGTAGACAGAGCGCTCTAGAAGTCTAAGTCTGCACATTATTGTATATTTTCTGCTATGATATCTCTCGTTGCGAGAAAACCAAGGAATACTCAATTCTGAATTAATTGATGCATACCAACGACCTTTTCCTGTCTCTAAAACAGCATTCCATTGCATTTTCCATTCTTCTTTTAACTGTTGCTTTAAAATTGAATATAAACGTAGACAGAGAAACCTATAGACAAATTGACGCCGTCTTTCGCATTCGCACACGATAAAGATAGAATTATGCATACGTCTTGCATAGAAATGAGATAGAGCAGTGTGATTGTTTGTCCCTTTCTCCGTGCCGGTTTTTTTGTTTAGCAAACTACACTTTGCTAATACTACAACTTTGACAGTTCGTAGCGATCTAAGGAATTTATAAGTTGGTTTAAGTGAGAAAAAAGTGTTTTGTGAGCTTAAGATTGATGAATCTTGTACAGTTCAGTTCTTAGAACAATTAAATTTTTTATCTAAATATGTTTAAAAGTCATAAAGATTATTGTATAACCTAAAACTAAGTTATCGTCCTTTCTCACTCGAGGCCACGCTAATCATTAGTCTATTGGTTTCTCTGTCTACGTAGTTGTACCTTGGGTAGTTTTTTTACCCCATCATCATCATCATCATTACAGCCCTTCACAAGTCCACTGCTGAACATAGGCCTCCCCCAAGTAATGCCACAAAGCACGGTCCTGAGCCACCTGCATCCATCGACTTCCTGCATGTCTTACCAGGTCGTCACTCCATCTAGTGGGGGGTCGCCCTACACTACGCCTACCGGTACGAGGCTGCCACTCGAGAACCTTTCTTCCCCATCGGTTATCGGTTCTTCGAGCTATATGGCCGGCCCATTGCCACTTCAGCTTACTAATCCGTTGGGCTATGTCGGTCACTCTGGTTTTACTGCGGATATCCTCATTTCTGAGTCTATCACGCAGAGAAACTCCGAGCATAGCCCTCTCCATAGCTCGCTGAGCGACCTTAAGCGTCCTCATACGGCCAGCAGTGAAGGACCACGTCTCAGATCCGTAAGTCATCACTGGCAACACGCACTGGTTGTACAATCTAGTTTTTAGAGATTGAGGTATACCTGACGAAAAGATATGCCGTAATTTCCCGAACGCTGCCCAGCCGAGTTGAATCCGTCGATTGACCTCTCGGTCGAAGTTGGACTTACCTAGTCGGACTATTTGTCCCAGGTAAACGTATTCGTCAACAACTTCGAGCATAGTGCTCCCAACAACTACCGGCATAGGTGTGACATGGACATTGAACATGATCTTTGTTTTGTCCATGTTCATCTTAAGACCTATCCGTTGGGAGGCACTATTGAGGTCATTGAGCATAGTGCTTAAGTCCTCCAGCGATTCTGCCATAAGGACTATATCGTCGGCAAATCGAAGGTGAGTGATGTACTCGCCATTGATGTCAATACCGTATCCTTTCCAGTCCAGTAGCTTGAAAACGTCTTCCAATGCAGCGGTGAAGAGTTTCGGGGATATAACGTCACCCTGTCTTACACCTCTCTGCAGTTGGATAGGTTTCGAGCTCTGGTTCTGTACTCGGATAGCCATCGTAGCCCTACTGTACAAACACTTCAGCACTTCGATATACCGACAGTCAACTTGGCACCGCTGAAGGGACTGTAGCACCGCCCAAATTTCGACGGAATCAAAGGCTTTCTCATAGTCCACATACGCCAGGCAAAGTGGCAGATTGTACTCTTCAGTCTTCTGTACAATCTGCCGCAGGGTATGTATGTGGTCTATGGTACTGAAGCCTTTTCGGAAACCGGCTTGTTCGGGAGGCTGGAAGTCGTCAAGTCTGCGTGCGAGACGATTCGTAATGACTCTCGAAAACAGATACCGAACCCCATAGATGTTATAAAAAGTTCGTCTGGGGATTTGTGCGTTTTGTGTGCATACTCTCGGGCACTGTAATCTTGTTCTGCCAAGAAGGCTAATCGCCATTGCAAAAGGCTGCTGTGGCCGAATAGTTGCATTTTTCTTTTGACGAATTTTACTGGCGAGTAAATATATAAATCTAACAGATTTTTGACGGGAATCCCCAACAAGCTCAACAGATTTTAATTTTTTTGTTGGCAGCACTGAGTATATGAGTACTTTCCAAAGAGCAACACGGATAACCGGCCGAACGGATGGGAGTAGCCTCAGGGAGTAGTTTTTTAGTGACAGGCGATTATTTTTTTGTGGGAAAGTCCCACAATAATTAAAATATACATTAACAATTTCACACGAACAATGTTTGTGTGAAATTGTGCATAGAAAGAACCTGCAATTCTACATAAATTGAGACAATATCTTATCTCGCTCTTTCTTATTTAATTTTCAAACAAGACAATACGAGATAAATCTATTGAAAGATGTTGCGTGTAATTCATGCGTGGAAAAAAAAGGACGTCTTTAATCTATAGTGATTTCGTTCGCAATGTCAGCAACAATCGACATCGATATAATCGTTTTTGTTTAGTTATGTATTTGTATTACTTTATATGCCTAAAATACTTTAAAAAATTAGACTAGACTTTTTAATAGTATATTAATATAATATAATAATCATCACGTCATGATGATCATTATAATATATTTTAGATATTCATTTCGCAAACTTTAAAAACTAATAATTAGAGAGGTATCAATACTAAGTCTTGACGGGTATATGATCCGGGGATCCTATTCATAATACCAA